AAGGACTATGCCTTAACTTATAGGGGCCTTAATATTGTGATTTAAGGTCTATTCCTTATTTAAGGGGTATTGGGCTCTCTGGGTAGTAACTAGGGCTATAATTTATAACCCCAATTAGGGTACTGATAACCTCACTTATGTACTAGGTCTCATGATCCTCCAAGAAGTCTTCGATGCAACCCAAAACTTCGTGCGGTCACAGCCACTGCCACTTGCCATCCTCGGTCTCCGAAAGTGTAGGCAGTGGAGGTAACGCCGTCACCGACGATCTGCAGATCAGTCAAAAGGCCGTGTCATTTTGCTTCTGAAACGCTACATGGGAGTTCCCGAAAATAAGGGGTACCATATTTTGAAGTCCTTATAATAAGGACCCTACTATTTAGGGTACTATATTAGGGCCCCCTATTTTCGGAAACCCCCACATTCACCCCATGCAACTTGCTCTAAAAGGTGATCAAAACAAGGACAGCAGGTCCCAGAGAGCCGAATACCCCTTAATTAAGGAATAGACCTTAAATCATAATATTAAGGCCCCTATAATTTAAGGTAGATTCCTAAGCCCTAAACCCTAAACCCTTATAGATCCCTTTAAGGGCCCCTATACTCTAAGGTTCCTTATTTTAAAAGGGGTATTGGGCTCTCTGGGGTGCCGAGGAATGTTCTGCAGCTGGCATGAGGGGCTTCCGGGTGCTTGGGCATGTACCCAAACCCCCAAAAGGATCTAAAAACTAGATCCCCTAAGGGGGTTCCTATAAAGTACCCTTGAGTAGTTAGGGTCCCTACTTAGGGGATCTATTTTTTAGATCCTTTTGGGGGTTTGGGTAGCTCAGTTACACATTGCAAACAGCTTCTGCAAGCGTTGGAACAAAGCATTCGCATAGCGCACCCACTTCTGTCTAAAAGCTCGCGGTGAGTTATATAATGCAGAAGTTGATTTTGAAAAATGCGCATCCGCGGTTTTATTCCGCATTTCTTGGATCATCAAGGCACAAGGCTTGACAGAATCTTTACAACGCCAATGAAGTTGGAGGCTTGCTGTGCGGATTGTTGGACTTACAGCGTTGGTGCTTGCGGCTTTCTGGAACAAAACGAACAAGATTTTCCGTGGAACCCCAGTACGGCGAGAAGAGTACTACCATCCACCACAAACACCTCCACTTCTTCCAAAACACAAAATCTCTGCAACCTCCCGAGAAGCATGGATCATCAGTGTCCTCGCCCTCCGCATCATCAACATCGCCGTAATCGGCGACAACAGCACCACTATACTGAACTTAGACCCCTAGCAAACATTTATAATTTAGCTGCTTAACCAAAGATTAAAAATTATTTCTAAGTACCCCTAGGACCACATCAACAGCTGACATCGTAATCATCGCCACCCAAGACCTCGTCGCTGACGTCTCAGAGCTCTCAGGAGAAAGGCGAGCACTTGGAGTCTATAAGCTGAGGACAGAGAAAACCCGGTTTAGGGTTTAGGGCT